AGTGCCGGCGATGCAGTGTTGCCAGATATTGCTACTGAAACAAACAAAAAACTAAAAAGAAATAAAAGTAAACAGAAATTATTTCCAATCTTTTGCAAATAAGATAAGATAAAGATATCGCTGACTCTAAACTGCAACTTCCTACTTTATTAACTTTCTAAAGTGTTAAATTAAGTGGAAAAGACAAGTCCAAAAACTCTTATAATAGCTGGATCTGGCAACACGGAGGCTGCGCCCACGCCCTCAATCACAACTCTCTGAAGACGCGTTCACTCCGCCAGCGTCTTGCAGCGATCATTTTCATAACAGGGACGCTAAACATTCCTGCAAACTGTCTAAACTGAATTATAGGCTACATGTCATGCAGCCATTCATATGATGAGTTTAACAGCAAATTAGTCATTCAAAGAACAAATTTTATTTTTGAACATGAAAAATTTACAGAGGTCCGGACCTCGGTGGCCTCATAGCTGGTTACGGGCCTGAACATATATATTCAGAAATAAAATGTTCCTAATAAAGGCCTACCATAGGATTGATGCTCTTTATATCTTCAGCACTGCTTTTGCACCTGTAACATACAAAATGAAGAGTGAAGATATTTTTTCCCTTTTGATCAGGATATAGCTTGTACAGAATGTCACATATTTCAGAGCAATTTATAATCTCAGAAATCAGAACATATGAACGACTGGATGTGGGCTATTTTTCAAAAAGCTTTCCATTGCCTTAACTAAGAGTTCTCCAGAGTGCAATGCTTGTCTCTAAGGCAACCGAAGCAAAGCTTTATCAGTTTTAAAAGGCAGCAACCGCTGCCTCTATTTGCACCATTTACAAAACACACTAAAAATGCAGTTGCTGGGTCTCTTAACTTAGTGCTCTCAAACCCTGGTCCTTTCTTCCAAATAGAATCTTTCTTGTTGTGTACTTTAATTTTTGTGCAAAATAATAATTCTTAATACATATTTATTGTGGATGATACACTACTCAGATAGCACACGTGTAATCTTTTAAAGATCGCTTCATCTGGAAAGCATCTGCTGTGTAGGCTATACAAACATCTGATAGACGTCTCTAAGATGTCAGTTTTACATACATTCTAAATCATAAACATCTTAAAGGCATCTTCTAAGCGTCTATTTGACATCTAATAGGAAACGTCCTATAGACGTATTGCAGATGAGCAAACACTCTAAAAAAATACGTCTTGCAGATGTAAATGCAGACGTCAAATCAACGAGATCACAGCTGTGTTAATGCCCGTTTCTACGGTTCTCTCAGCCTTGTCTCTGACACTGAACTTGAGCTCAGTTGTTGTGTGTTTGCTTCACAGCTATTTAGCTAATGAACTATGCCGAGGAGAACCAGACACACAAAGGTAATGGAGAAACTTACTTCTGTGGACAAACTTAATCAGAATCTCGAACCAAATGAATGGCATTTATTTGAAAGAAAGATAGTACACGCACAATTTTCTAGCATAACTTTACCCAAAAAGAATTTGTTTCAAATGATAATAGTTGTAAAACTATTTTTGTTTTTGGTCGTTGAACATCAGTGGAACATATTTGTAGTAAATGTGATGAATCTCACAGGAGAACTTGAGGAGAATTTCTTCATCCACTAAAAATCACATTTAAAGTCATTGAGAGAGAGAAAAAAAGTTAGTTCTTAAAAAAATGCATCCAAATACGTTTGGGGGCCACACTGTATATCAAAGGTTATTGACATTTACGGAACTTTTGAATTTCACATTGACCTCCAGAACCACTTTTTCAGATATAAACCAGGTTTAACATTTTAAACGATTTCCAATTCAAATAACCGCATGATGTTGCCTATTCTAGTAGGTCTTTGAAATCAGTCTATTTGTTTTGCAAATTAAGGCCTTGCTACAAGTCCATACAACAAGAAGTGATCTGTTTTTTGCTTATATCCTAAGGGCCGACTGGTTTCTATTGGATAGCAGGGTTGTCCGGCATGTAACCATTGGGCTGTTTTGCCTTGGAGTTTCAGTTTACTTGGCTGGTAAGTGCTACACAAAAAACACATTGAAGTCATGTCATGAATTATATTGAAAAAACACTCTAAAAAAATACGTCTTGCAGATGTAAATGCAGACGTCAAATCAACGTCTCCGTGATGTACGTGTGCTATCAGGGTGTGAATATGCAACATTTTTAATGATCTTAGGATATCATGCAACACTTAAAAAAATGCTGGGTTGTTTCAACCCAACTTTGGATCAAATATGGACTAACCCAACCGTTGGGTTACATTTTTTAATTTAATTTTTAACTCAAAAGTTGGGTTAGTCCATATTTGATCCAAAGTTGGGTTGAAACAACCCAGCATTTTTAGAGTATGATAATAGTTGTAAAACTATTTTTGTTTTTGGTCGTTGAACATCAGTGGAACATATTTGTAGTAAATGTGATGAATCTCACAGGAGAACTTGAGGAGAATTTCTTCATCCACTAAAAATCACATTTAAAGTCATTGAGAGAGAGAAAAAAAGTTAGTTCTTAAAAAAATGCATCCAAATACGTTTGGGGGCCACACTGTATATCAAAGGTTATTGACATTTACGGAACTTTTGAATTTCACATTGACCTCCAGAACCACTTTTTCAGATATAAACCAGGTTTAACATTTTAAACGATTTCCAATTCAAATAACCGCATGATGTTGCCTATTCTAGTAGGTCTTTGAAATCAGTCTATTTGTTTTGCAAATTAAGGCCTTGCTACAAGTCCATACAACAAGAAGTGATCTGTTTTTTGCTTATATCCTAAGGGCCGACTGGTTTCTATTGGATAGCAGGGTTGTCCGGCATGTAACCATTGGGCTGTTTTGCCTTGGAGTTTCAGTTTACTTGGCTGGTAAGTGCTACACAAAAAACACATTGAAGTCATGTCATGAATTATATTGAAAAACTTTAATCATTAGATTGAGTATATACACATTTACAGAACATAGTTACATTGTCCTCATTACACTAAATGAAAAATGTGCAAAATGTGAACAAATTGTAACCAAAACACCTAAAGCAGCTTATAAATATCATATGTCCATCCTTTCATCTTTTATACCAAAAGATTTCCTTTTTTTTTTTTACTAATGGCTCTTTAGTAAGAAAGACCATTTCTGGTGGTAATCGTGACTTTATTTCTTGCAATTGTGACTTAAATCTAACAAAATGTGACTTTATATGTTGCAGTGTGACATTAAACTTCGCAATTAAAATATTTTTCCCCCTTGGAGTTGCAACTTTTTTCCCCTAATTGAAATGTTAAATTTCCTGATTGTGTATTTAAATTTTATAACGTTACATTAAATCTTGCAATTGCAATAATTGACCCTGTGACCCTGGACCACAAAACCAGTCAATTTTTTGAAATTGAGATTTATACATCACCTGAAAATAGGCCCATTTTACTCAACCCACATTTTTAGCATTCTATAGCAAGCTCAAGCGCATTAGGCAAATAAAAATAGAAAGTCCTTGCATGATGTTGTTTTTAATGTGTTTTTATGATAGGCCTATGTGATTTATGTATGTAAGCTACAACATAATTCTAAAATGACTGCAGTTTTGCACATTTTATGTCTAGTTATTTGGGAAATCTCAAGCATGTTTTCAATTACAGGTCTTGAAAAACAACACCACCTTAAGAGCAGGCGCGGCCATTTTAAACTTGAATGTGCGAGGCTTCCGGTCTCATTCGTTTCCAGGTATTTTAGCTGTACAGAACAGTCTGTTATGATGCAAACTGGTATTTCTTATCATGTAATTTTAATTCATCATATTTGGTTTGCAGGTCAAATAGTTTTACCGTTCACAGCTGCTAGTTGTAGGCTTATGAATCAGAGATCTCGCACATTCAAAGAAAATACCTAAAAAAAAAAATTAAAGTTGTCCAAATGAAGTCCTTAGCAATGCATATTACTAATGATAATACATTTTTGATATATTTACGGTAGGAAATGTACAAAATATCTTCATGGAACGTGATTTTTACTTAATATCCTAATGAGTTTTGGCATAAAAGAAAAATCTATGATTTTGACCCATACAATGTAATGGTGGCTATTACAACAAATATACCCATGCTACTTATGACTGGTTTTGTGGTCCAGGGTATAACTGTTAAAATCTAAAAGTTACAAACTGTAAAGATAAACAATCAGAAGAAAATTCAATTTTGTCCCCTAAATTTTGCTTATGCTTGAGGCAGAATGTTTTATCCCTGATAGTAGACTAGGCTACATGTACATCACGGAGACCTATATTTGACGTCTGCATGTACATCTGCAAGACGTATTTTTTAGTGTTTGCACATCTGCAATACTTCCTATCAGATGTCAAATAGACGTTTAGAAGATGTCTTTAAGATGTTTATGATTTAGAATGTATGTAAAAAACTGACGTCTATTAGATGTTTGTACACAGCAGATGCTTTCCAGATGAAGCGATCTTTAACAGACATCTTGCAGACATACATGTGCTATCTGGGATGAAAAATACTGGGATGACTTCAATTAGTGTACTACACCTGTTGCATGCGCTGAACAACAAAACACGGATAGCATAGGCAAGTGCATTCCTTTGGAGAGAAGTTCTCAAGAGCAGAGTGCAGTACGAGTAAGGTGCAACATTGCTTGGGCGAATAAATCCAAATAAGAACTCCATTGTTGCATGAGAAAAAGTTTTTAATCTGGGGGATTTAAAGTGGATCACATGCTCTGACTGAACACCAGCGGCACGAGAGCACGCGCATTCCACAGCAGCCTCTCGCGCGTCGTTTGTTTTCCTCGTCAAGAAACCCGCAAACAGAAAACATAGTGAGAAGATATCGAGGAAAAGTGGTTAAAACCGTCATTTTAGATGGACTACTGTTTGTTTATGTAGTAAATCGGACATTTATTCACTGTCGGACATGACGCATTCCTACAGTCTGCGTTCTCTCGTGGTACTCGCGTTTTTAGGGATTTTATCCGCAATAATGTCCGTATTGTCCGTCATTTTGATCTTCCAGCTCCAAACGCAACAGGCTGTTATAAAGGATTCGCCTATTTTCGGGTCGAATGAGATCACAGCTGTGTTAATGCCCGTTTCTACGGTCCTCTCAGCCTTGTCTCTGACACTCAACTTGAGCTCAGTTGTTGTGTGTTTGCTTCACAGCTATTTAGCTAATGTCTTTAAGATGTTTATGATTTAGAATGTATGTAAAAAACTGACGTCTATTAGATGTTTGTACACAGCAGATGCTTTCCAGATGAAGCGATCTTTAACAGACATCTTGCAGACATACATGTGCTATCTGGGATGAAAAATACTGGGATGACTTCAATTAGTGTACTACACCTGTTGCATGCGCTGAACAACAAAACACGGATAGCATAGGCAAGTGCATTCCTTTGGAGAGAAGTTCTCAAGAGCAGAGTGCAGTACGAGTAAGGTGCAACATTGCTTGGGCGAATAAATCCAAATAAGAACTCCATTGTTGCATGAGAAAAAGTTTTTAATCTGGGGGATTTAAAGTGGATCACATGCTCTGACTGAACACCAGCGGCACGAGAGCACGCGCATTCCACAGCAGCCTCTCGCGCGTCGTTTGTTTTCCTCGTCAAGAAACCCGCAAACAGAAAACATAGTGAGAAGATATCGAGGAAAAGTGGTTAAAACCGTCATTTTAGATGGACTACTGTTTGTTTATGTAGTAAATCGGACATTTATTCACTGTCGGACATGACGCATTCCTACAGTCTGCGTTCTCTCGTGGTACTCGCGTTTTTAGGGATTTTATCCGCAATAATGTCCGTATTGTCCGTCATTTTGATCTTCCAGCTCCAAACGCAACAGGCTGTTATAAAGGATTCGCCTATTTTCGGGTCGAATGAGATCACAGCTGTGTTAATGCCCGTTTCTACGGTCCTCTCAGCCTTGTCTCTGACACTCAACTTGAGCTCAGTTGTTGTGTGTTTGCTTCACAGCTATTTAGCTACCTAGAACTATTTGAATATCTGGAATCTGAGGGTGCAAAAACATCAAAATATTGAGAAAATCTCCTTTAAAGTTGTCCAAATGAAGTCCTTAGCAATGCATATTACTAATGATAATACATTTTTGATATATTTACGGTAGGAAATGTACAAAATATCTTCATGGAACGTGATTTTTACTTAATATCCTAATGAGTTTTGGCATAAAAGAAAAATCTATGATTTTGACCCATACAATGTAATGGTGGCTATTACAACAAATATACCCATGCTACTTATGACTGGTTTTGTGGTCCAGGGTCACATTTTCTTTGGAGTCGCAACTTTATATCTCCCAATTGTGACTTTACATCTCACAATTTGACTTTAAATCTTGCACCTGCAATATATTCCTGGAGTTGCAACTCCCGATTGTGACTTTATATCTCACAATATGAATTTATTTCTTATTTTAAATTCAAAATTACCTTTTTATTTTTTAAATTGGATGTGGAAATGGGCTTCCATACTTTAAAATAGCAATCATTATCAATATGAAGTGGTGGCACTAAGTGAATATAGTATATATTTCATTCAGGTCTTCATCAGTTTATATCCCAGAGCTGTGCTTTTCTCCTCCATCCTTAAGCATGCCAGGATCCAAAGCTCTTTTTCTGTAAAAAACCCCCCGATACATTAGTGTATATTCATCATTTATCAGTCATAGCATGGAGTGATTTGACATAAATATTTCATTTTTTTCCCTTCACAGCCATGTCTATTTACATGTTGTTGGTGTTTGAAGTTGAGACGGGCATAGCCAGTGTGTGCGTGCTCTCCTCCGGTGTTCTCGTCCTGCTATTTATCATTATTCACTCCCTAATAAGGGCCGCACATACAGCCAAACAATTCCGCAATGAACATGCCCACACCATGTACCACAACAACCCTGAAAACATTGCTGGAATCCGTACATCTAACCCAAGCATTACAGAAAAGCCAAGGAGGCAACACAGCCTAGACAACCTGCACAGCCATTTCATCAACCCCACTCACATCGATCCTAAATCACTGTACTCGCCATCCAACGGCCCTCACGGTCACTTTGGTGATAAGGACGGCTACGGTGGCGGTGGGAGCGGAAGGACGCACCGGACACTTTCGACAGAGTCCGGCTTGTTTCAAGCACAGGCCAAACCCTGGAACGGGGTTAACAGTGAGATGAGATCTGTACTTGCTCGTAAAGCCACGATCAAGGATTCAACTTTAGTATGAATGGTAACACATCTAGTTTGGTGTCAAGATGGGAATTATGTAATACAGTATGTGGTTATATTTTTAATAAATTAAATGTAGCCTTGGTCAGCATAAGAGACTTCTCTTCTTATAAATGCTGTGTGTCTGTAGACACACAATAGTCTTAGAAGTCAGACAAATTATTTATGACATTTAAAGCAAAATATGTATTTAAAAAAAATCTGACTGTTTTTGTACACCTAATATCAACTTACAGGTGTTAGAAGTCACATTAACTGAAAAAAAAGAGAGTAAAATAATATTGTGAAATTACTACTGAAATACATGAAAATTTGTGTAGCTGTTATAGGGTAATTACTCTTTTCTTGTTTTTTTTTTTGCCAAAAAATACGTATATGTTTTGTATATTCAAAACACTGCCGTAAACGATTGATACAGAAAAATAAAGCTTTAAAAGTTGAGATGAAAAATGACACTTAAATTACATATACCACATAATAATTAAATAAATGTGTGGGAGAAACCAAATTGAATTGATTTAATAGTACAAGATGTTTTATATGCAACTTACGTACATAAACCAGGTGTAGAAAGAATCAAGAATGAAGCAAAACTAACCTTGGAGAAAGATTTCCATGAGTCAAGGTGGTGTGACTGAAGTGTGTGTGGGTGTATCGTTTGGATTAATTGCAGGTTTCACAGAACTGAAGTGACATGTATGTTTAAAAACAGAAAAAGTGAGCAAATTAAAAGTGAAGCAAACGAGCAAAGAAAAAAAACAGTAAGCCAATGTCACATTTACATTTAACAGTGAAGTGATATATATATATATATATAAAAATAAAAAATAGTAATAATAATGTTAATGCATGTAATTGCATTAAAAATGGAAGTGACTACAACCTTCGTCCCTGTGAGCTGCTGATCTGTTCCTTCAGTGAAATGGCTTGCCGGAGCAGACCGTCTATGTTCTTGAAATAGAGACTACTATTTGTCATGCTTTTCACCGCACTGAAAGACACCAACACACACACACAAAAACCGATATGAAGCACATTAAATAAAATACTGCATAATATAAATCATCAATTTATGTAATGCATATCTTACCTGCATGCATATTCAACAGTGTAGATTGCCACTTGACTT